TTTACATGCCATAGCATTATAAACTTAAGTTAATGAAACAAGCGTTAGGACAAGAGTAAAGTTGTGCAAAGTCTCCTGGAGTACAAAGGTCTGGTACGAAGGTCAATCTGTGAATCATGTGATCATACACGTGCAAAGCGCAAGGCTGAATTAACAACAAACCATTGTCAAATCTCTTCCCATGCATGTGAGGGAAAATAGACCAATCAGGTTTACCTCTTCGTCTGAATAGTTTCCTGCTTGGATCAGTAAGCCTCATTGTGTCACTTGCAAGCAAAATTGTATGACCTCTGCGGCAAAGTACTTCGAAATTATACTTTTGGAAAAGATATATCATGGATATAAAACAACGGTCAGTAACACAGTATTATTCAGTGATACGCAGTTTATTTTAACTTCATTTATTTTATCACAGAATTCGGGTATAGTAATTGTCGAACGCCAAATGTATCGACCATTCACGCTAAGTCGATCTGTATTTCAATGTCAATTTTATTACCATCTTGAGGTTATTAACCGGCCAGATTGGGCCTCTGATTCGGGAATTGGGTTTCAATAAAGTGTCACATTAACTGTATTCAATCATTAAAAGTAGATTATATAAAACTTCCTTTCTAGCTATTTCAAGGCACTCTTTAATAAAACAAACACTTAATTATTTGGTTTTAGTCTGCTCGCATATCCTTCCACCACGGGGGGGATTAGGGACAGTCTGTGGCAGACTAGAGAAATTTAGGATCTACTTTATCTACATTTGTGATAAATCGGCAAGTTGGATGTCATGAAGATTGATATATACGTACAGTGTCAGGTTTTTCCTGGCCTCCCTGATGTTCCAGCTGTAGTATGAGTGATGGTAATACTCAAATATATGTCTTACGATCAAATGTGTAGTTTTAAAGAAAAAATTGCATATAACATGATTTTAATCAATTAATTATTTAAAGTGTGTCGAAAGAGAAATATAGACGATATGTCTTCGAAAAGCACAAAGATCATCTGTCAGAAGCTGTCTTCTATACGATTACAGTTGTGGTGGGAGTTGGGTTTTTTCGTCTATGGAGTTTAGAACTGATAGAGCTATTCAGTATAAATAAACGTAGTTTAGGTTTAGCTAATACTGGACCAATGACAATACAATACAATACAATACAATACAATACAATACAATACAATACAATCAATCAATGCAATGCAATGCAATGCAATGCAATGCAATGCAATGCAATGCAATTACGATTTGTTATAGGTTAAATTACAGTCGGACCCAAATACCATAAAACTAAAAAATATAGAGTAGCGAAAGTTCGCTATCATTCTGTTCTAGTTATACTAGTCTACATCAAGTTCTTCTCTGGTGGCTATAAGACACAGCTTGTGGATGGGTCTGTCATATTCTCCTGTTTGCGTCTTCATTCTTACTTTTCTTCAGTAGCTAAACAGACGTTGACTTCATTAACTTCCTTGTTACAATTGGATGAAAATGATGATTTCTTCTCTTTCATTGTTTCCTGGCATACTGAATTGGATAATATGAGATCTTCGTGGAACTCTGGCCACTGGGCTTCGGGAAACTTCAGGAATGAAAGTTCATCCATTAGCTTTCGTTTGTCTGAAAATTCAATATCTAAGATTTTCCAAGCTTGGTCGATGGTTTTGCAGGTCTTTACTTGATCTGTCCACCATAAATGGCTTGGCAACGCCTTCCTGAAACGTTGCAATTGTTCATCTTCATCTTGTGCATACTTTTTCATCCAGTGATTAAACTCCTTCCTCCAGGTAGGGTACATTCTACGGCTGCCATCCCATGATGGAACTGGCAAACGTTCAAGTCCACTCTTACTAGGTTTTGATCCCGTGGACATGGTCTCCGTCATTTTTAGAACTGCGGATGTCATTGCCTTTAAGGTTTCTGTCTCTTCTTGAGGTTTCTTGGAGCTTACTTCTTTTTGGTAGGCAGCAAACTTTTAGATATCTTCAAATATTCTTCCTTTACAGCGTCACCTACTCTTTTGTGAGCTTCCTTCAACGTTTCTTCTACACCCCCCTCTACATATTTGTCTGCGATGAATTCTTGCTGCTCCTTGATACTTCTGTATTTGGTTTCGAGTATTGTAAATATTTGTTCTAGCCTTTTTAATTGTGGCTGAATTTCAAACACCGTCTCAAACTCTTTTTTTGTTAATTCGACGAACAAAATGCCAGTAATACTCGTATTATTATAAACTTTAAATATAAATAATCTCTTCCTCAGTCGAATGGCTTGTGATTCCTTCGGTCTGTAGAATTTTGACTGTTTCGCATCTACGCCAACCGGGGAGACGCTACTTTGTTTGAAGCAAATCACATTGAAATACCCAAATCTGTTTTCTCTTTCTGCACTAATACTTTATTTTGTAAATAGTCAACTATATAAATCAAGCAAATTACAGCTATTACAACAACTCAGATATACTGATAATTGAAGGTTGCAGCAAGACTGACTTACAATTCGTGAGGCATAATCTGAGTATCCTTGCCTTTTCCTAAGTTATTATTTTTAAGTTTTTTGTTCACTGTAGAAATTTTCAGAAAATTTTCATTTTTTCGTCAAATCCGAAATTTTCCAGAAACTTTTCATTTTTTCGCTAAATCCGAAATTTTCAAGAAAATTTTTATTTTTTTGCCATATCCGAAATTTTCCACAAAATTTTTATTTTTTCGCAAAATCCGAAATTTTTCAGAAAATTTTCATTTTTTCGCCAAATCCGAAATTTTCCAGAAATTTTTCATTTTTTCTCCAAATCCGAAATTTTCAAGAAAATTTTCATTTTTTCGCCAAATCCGAAATTTTGAAGAAAATTTTCATTTTTTCGCCAAATCCGAAATTTTCAAGAAAATTTTCATTTTTTTGCCAAATCCGAAATTTTCAAGAAAATTTTCATTTTTTCGCCAAATCCGAAATTTTCAAGAAAATTTTTATTTTTTTGCCAAATCCGAAATTTTCAAGAAAATTTTCATTTTTTCGCCAAATCCGAAATTTTCAAGAAAATTTTCATTTTTTCGCAAATCCGAATTTTCAAGAAAATTTTCATTTTTTCGCCAAATCCGAAATTTTCAAGAAAATTTTCATTTTTTCGCCAAATCCGAAATTTTCAAGAAAATTTTCATTTTTTCGCCAAATCCGAAATTTTCAAGAAAATTTTCATTTTTTCGCCAAATCCGAAATTTTCAAGAAAATTTTCATTTTTTCGCCAAATCCGAAATTTTCAAGAAAATTTTCATTTTTTCGCCAAATCCGAAATTTTCAAGAAAATTTTCATTTTTTCGCCAAATCCGAAATTTTCAAGAAAATTTTCATTTTTTCGTCCAAACCCGAAATTTTCAAGAAAATTTTCATTTTTTCGCCAAATCCGAAATTTTCAAGAAAATTTTCATTTTTTCGCCAAATCCGAAACTTTCAAGAAAATTTTCATTTTTTCGGCAAATCCGAAATTTTCAAGAAAATTTTTATTTTTTCTCCAAATTCGAAATATTCCAGAAAATTTTCATTTTTTCGCCAAGTCCAAAATTTTAAAGAAAATTTTCATTTTTTCGGGAAATCCGAAATTTTCAAGAAAATTTTCATTTTTTCGGCAAATCCGAAATTTTCAAGAAAATTTTCATTTTTTCTCCGTATCCGAAATTTTCAAGAAAATTTTCATTTTTTCGCTAAATTCGAAATTTTCAAAAAATTTTCATTTTTTCGCCAAATCCGAAATTTTCGAGAAAATTTTCATTTTTTCGGCAAATCCGAAATTTTCAAGAAAATTTTCATTTTTTCGCCAAATCCGAAACTTTCAAGAAAATTTTCACTTTTTCGGGAAATCCGAAATTTTCAAGAAAATTCTCATTTTTTCTCCAAATCCGAAATTTTCAAGAAAATATTCATTTTTTCGGCAAATCCGAAATTTTCAAGAAAATTTTCATTTTTTCTCCGTATCCGAAATTTTCAAGAAAATTTTCATTTTTTCGCTAAATTCGAAATTTTCAAAAAATTTTCATTTTTTCGCCAAATCCGAAATTTTCGAGAAAATTTTCATTTTTTCGGCAAATCCGAAATTTTCAAGAAAATTTTCATTTTTTCGCCAAATCCGAAACTTTCAAGAAAATTTTCATTTTTTCGGCAAATCCGAAATTTTCAAGAAAATTTTCATTTTTTCTCCAAATTCGAAATATTCCAGAAAATTTTCATTTTTTGGCCAAGTCCAAAATTTTAAAGAAAATTTTCATTTTTTTCGGGAAATCCGAAATTTTCAAGAAAATTTTCATTTTTTCGGCAAATCCGAAATTTTCAAGAAAATTTTCATTTTTTCGGCAAATCCGAAATTTTCAAGAAAATTTTCATTTTTTCGCCAAATCCGAAACTTTCAAGAAAATTTTCACTTTTTCGGGAAATCTGAAATTTTCAAGAAAATTCTCATTTTTTCTCCAAATCCGAAATTTTCAAGAAAATATTTATTTTTTAATTTCGCCAAATCCGAAATTTTCAAGAAAACTTTCATTTTTTCTCCAAACCCGAAATTTTCCAGAAAATTTTCATTTATTCGCCAAATCCGAAATTTTCAAGAAAATATTTATTTTTTTGCCAAATCCGAAATTTTCCAGAAAATTTTCATTTTTTCGCCATATCCGAAATTTTCAAGAAAATTTTCATTTTTTCTCCAAATCCGAAAATTTCAAGAAAATATTTATTTGTTCGCCAAATCCGAAATTTTCCAGAAAATTTTCATTTTTTCGCCATATCCGAAATTTTCAAGAAAATTTTCATTTTTTCGCCAAATCCGAAATTTTCAAGAAAATTTTCATTTTTTCGCCAAATCCGAAAATTTTCAAGAAAATTTTCATTTTTTCGCCAAATCCGAAATTTTCAAGAAAATTTTCATTTTTTCGGCAAATCCGAAATTTTCAAGAAAATTTTCATTTTTTCTCCAAATCCGAAATTTTCAAGAAAA